AAAGAACATAAAAAGTAATAATAGATTGAAAACAAGTGTTACTCGATAGATTATATAATAATTACAGAAGAGTGCATTTTATATTTGAGAGCATAATTTTTATATCGTCCAGTAGTTTTTCTACTGGTGACAATGATTAAAAACTACTAAAATATTTTGTTTAGTAAAAACGAAAAAGATGAATATTGCTGAAAATTGGAAATTTTGTTTGGACATCGCGTAATTTCGATGAATCAACTGACATTACTAGCACAACATGAATCTGATTGGTAGATGGAAAAATGTATTCTCCAATTGCAGATCGAATTATATATGCTGTACAAATATTGTGCTTTTTGAACGCGAGCAATGATTACCACAATTGTTGACGGTGATTATCAATAGGAGAACCGTTATTTAAGATGGGCTTCGAAGTCGTTGGTGAAATACGAATTTTTAATGAGGGATATAACAATAGTTGGGATATGAGAGGTATCGTTTGCTCGAAAGTCAAACACGAATCGTTGAAATTTATCGTCCTTACGCACTGTTATTTCGCAGGTTTCGAGAATTCGCAAAAAATATAAGAGAACATAACCTATGAGGCCATTATTCGCATTCGCATACACATTTCCGGCTGGATAGCAAAAATATTGCTTGTTCAAAATGTTGGAGGGACTCGTTGCTTGGGTGTTAAATAATTATCTTGGCAAATACGTGGAGAATTTGAATACGGATCAGCTCAGCATTGCTTTATTATCGGGTGAGGTTATGTCACACTACGCATTTATTACTTTTGCTATAAAAACCTTATAAGGCTTGTGTAATGTTTACAATATATATATATATATATATATATATTTATTTATTTGAAGAATAATTTGTTAACTATAGATTTGTAACTATAAGCTAAATTAATGTACACTTTTAGAACTTAAAATGAAATTAACATATTTGATGAAAATAAGAAGATTCTTTAGTTTAGTTTGCAAGAATAAAAAACAGATCTAAAACTTGTCACATATGTTCGCACATTATCATATTCATTATATTGTGTTCCAACCAGTATTGAAAATCTATAGTATATGACATGAGCTATAGATTTTGGATATATATACTGACAATATATATGACAGAATACGTGTATTCATTTTATTGGTTTATGACAGGGAAGTTTATTTTGCGTATTTTCTATATTGTTTTCTTTAATATTATTTTTATATAAAAAGTCAATGTTATAACTGTAGTACTGCAGTTATATGAGTTATATTATTTTCTTAATGGATGTCTTTTTTGTATTAGGAGAAGTTGAACTAGAAAACTTACCCCTGAAACGTGAGGCTCTGCGTCATATTGGGCTGCCAATGGAAGTAAAGGCTGGATTTATTGGTAAAGTTAGATTACAAGTACCAGTCAGACAGATAAGGACCGCATCATGGGTGATAGGTATAGAGCAGCTCTATTTAGTAGCGGGACCAATTAATTTGGACGAGGTACAAATAATTTTCTGTTTTCTATTATCTTAGAATTTTAATAGATTTTCAATAGTATTGACAGAAAGTTTATATAAATATATAGATGCATTTGTGTTATACATATGTTTCAATATATATTGATAAATTTAAAAACAAATGTTCATAGTATGATAATGAAGCAGAGGAACAAGCAATACTAGAATATAAACTCAGTCGACTGGATGCTTTGGAAGCCAGATGGAGAGCTGATATAGAGCATGATCCTGGTTATTATGCTTCAAGTTATAGTTCCTGGCTAAATTATGGCACGTCTCTAGTAACAAATATTATTGAAAATTTACAATTAAATATCAAAGATGTTCATATTAGGTATGAAGATGGTATTACACTATCAGATGGTAAGCAAATAGTTATATATATTAGGTGTAGTAAAAAGAAATTCATTATTTTTGCATGAAATTGAAAAATAATGGATTTCTTTTTACTATACCTAATATATATATATACATATATATATA